TTTCAATTGTAAATAACAGGAAGAATGAAGATAACACTAATAAATGTTTTTCTTATGTAAACCACATCCTGTTATAACTGTTACATATGCACTACATTTCCTGAGTAATTATTATCTTTCTTGGAGATAAATGATTTGAAGAAAACAACATGAACGTTCCTAATGTTATATTAAATATATAAAAACCGATAAAATATCACTATATTTTTAAATATTTCAGTATTCTACTAATTTTTATTATATTTTTAGTTTTGATATAAAGACGGAATTGTAATTTTAATGAAAACTTAAAAATTTCGAGATAAATTTTATGTCCACTGGAGAAAGTATATCAAATCCAATAATTTGTGATAGAGTAGTAACAAATATAATCAATTTTACTCATATGACCACTACTATTTTATTAATATTTTAGTAATATACTTTAAACAATTCTTATTCTCAAATAAATAATTATTTTGCCTATATTAGAAAATCATTAATCATATTTAATTTTCAATGTATATAATAAACATTTGAATAACTATTATGTTCTAATCTTAATGTTTACGTCAGAACCCCTTTTGGAGTATTGCCAACATAAAAAATAAGTTTATTGATATTTACAGTTGTATTTACGGTTCATATAGATTATTTCATGATTTATATATTAGTTAAATTTTAATTTCATAAATAACTTATGTTTGCGTCTTATAATATTATTTATTTATAGTCTATAATTATATTTTCTTAACAAATTTTCAGCTTGATAGTTGGCAGAAATATGGTTTTAAAAATACAATTTCCGATCCGGACTTAAATACAATATTTGTAGTTGAACAGAATATTTGAATGAAAATCTATTAAAAATATCCTTAAAACAGTATCTAAATTATAGCAAATATTTTATTGTGTTACTTTTAATCAGTAGTTTAAATGTTTTAGTAGATACAATTCGAGGTTATGAAACATTCCAGCCATAACAAGCCTAAAGCATGTTCTACATTTAAATCGAAATTAACCCGTGCGAATAAAAATAAATAACTCGATTTAAACATTAATACATAAAATGAAGTGGTCGTCACCACGATTTACTTTACCAATTTTAATTGGCATTTCTCTAACGAGTGTTAGCATTGCTGTAATATATTTATTATTAAAGAAGGTAAATTAAAAAAATTTTTTATTCTTATATCAATTGACATATTATTTTTATCCATTATTCAATGTAATAGGATGAAGAAGATTCAACATCTAGGAGAAATCATATAGAAATTGCAAAAAGAATTTCAATAGAATGTAAAGTTCCTAGACAATTTGTACCTGCTGTTATTGGAAGAGGTGGTTCTGTAATAAAAGATGTACAAAATAAGTCAGGAACACAAATATTTTTTAAAGAAGATAATCTTGAATGCCCAGAACGTATTTGCATTATAAGAGGAACTTATGAGTGTACTCAATTGGCGCAAGAGATGATAAAGTCCATAATAGAAAATCAACCTGTTATTGAAACATATGAAATATACATTCCACAGAGGGCATGTGGAAGAATTATAGGAAGAGGTGGTGAATCTATACACCAAATTCAAATAACTTCTGGTGCAAAAGTTATGGTTGAAAGTGGTTATACTTATGTGCAAAGTATGTTATTGACACACGCAAAATAAATGAATTCTTGCTGTTGCATCTTATTTTTGAAAAATCTAATAACTTACACTAACATTTTATAGATGCTGAAAGACGTGTTATAATAAAAGGAACTGCTGAACAAATAGCTGCAGCTTTAACACAAATTGAAGAAAAAGTTCGAGAAGAATGTGCAGATGAAGAAAGTGCAAAAAGGAAATTATATGGAAAACTAGAAGCTTCTCCTGCAATAAAATTGCCTATTTATACGACTGAACGTCCACAATCTACTGAGTCCCTCTCATTACAAGGTCTGTGATATAGAATTTATTTAATACTTTAATGTTATTTATAGGAAAATTTATATTATAGGCATAATTTATAGGTAAAGACAAAAAATA